CTGCCTGTCAAATTGAAACCCAATATTCGTGCGTGTACAAATACGCAGGCGGCCCAGAATTGAAATCTAGACTCAAATTATTTTGAGTGCTTGAAACCGCATAAAATCACATACTATTAGGATTGATTCATGTGTCTTTTATTCAGAGCTAAACCAAAATTGTTTAATGACAATCACCAATTTGGCAGCATAGATTTTTGTGGCCTGGTTGCCTGGGTTTCCAATGAAAATAAACAATTCGCAACAGCCAATGAAAAACCGATGCAAATTTGTTGATGGTCCAATGTGCATCCAAATATTTACACAATCAAACGAGATTTGGGACAGGCGATGCATTTATTTTGTATTTAAAATGCTCATCACATGCAGCAACAAACAACAATGCATAGAAAAGGAAGAGTGATCTAGTACGAAGTGCTCGACTAGGAGATAACCTGTACCACGCCCCAAACTGCGCAGCTAATGCTGCTGCTGTGCTTCTTCTACCCTTAGTCCCGCAATTTATGAAATACCTTCTTAATTTAGTTCGGTGTTTATTCTCCGATCTATAGGAAGTTTTCAGAATACTAAAGCCAAAGACATCCAATTATACTTCATACCAAATTTGGTGTCTCTAGATCTTATAAGTTCACAAACAGTATTTTGATATCGATTATTGATTTCATAGAAACGGGACAGGTTATCGAGTCTTGAAACTCAGCTCTTTAGCTCTTATGGTTTCCGAAATCGATGCGTTCAAACAAACGGTCGGACAGGCAGAAAAACGGACAAGACTAGATCGACTCGACTGTTGATGCTGAGCAAGAATGTAAATACTTTATTGGCTACGAGCTTCCTTCATCCTATTACATATTTTCGGACAAAATCAATGTACCCCGTTTCTGCATTTTAATGGGTATAAGAAGTGGTATGTATGGTAAGGGTGCCAAACGGCAAACCATACAGAATAGAAAACACAGACAGCTCAAACAGAAGCAGTTCAGATGTCGGCCACAGACAAATTGGTGCTTGACTTCACAGCCACAATCGGCCTATAGTAAGGAAGTACATTGGCTACGCTGTGATACTCGTCCTGATCGAGAGTTTTTCGCCTGTGATATCATCTTTCAAACCATGTCATAGCTTTTGTACTAAGACCAGCTCAGCTCAGACCAATCAGTCAGTCAGGAGAAACAGCTGTATATATATAAAATACAAAAAACTTACCAGGTTGCACGCACATTGGGTATTCGTGATAATGGTCGTTATATGGTCTCTACAGCTGAGTCCTGGGCAAGAGTATGGAAAGCTAGCTAGTCGACTGCATGGATATGTGGCTGAGCGTGTTGTAGTGAACATTTTGTTAAAGCTTCGCATCGGAAAAGCGATTTTGTGGTATTGGGCGAAGCAATTTTTGCTGCATTCGGTAATTGGAGCACAACTTACAAAGTGAAAGCGAAAATGCAAAGCCAAAACCCTGCCAGATTTCTCCCACTTTTAATTAAAAGCGCAATTGGGGTAAAGAGTAAAGTGCAAAGTGCATGCACAGCAAAGGCGCTCAGTAGGATGTTTTACACACACACAACTATAGAATTCGATTAATTAGACGCTTTTGGCCTTTGTTGCTGTTGTTGTAGTTGCTTTCGCCCAAGTGGAGCTTTAAAATGCGTTTAATTGAAATGCGCGCGACAACTACACTGTTAATTACAGGGAAAGTCTGAAATCTCTCTCTATCTCTGCGTGTCAGCTGGTGAAAGTATGTGTGCGTGTGTGACTGTGTGTGTGTGTGTGTTTCGGGCTACACATTTTTATTGCGCTGCAACGGCAATTAACAGACAAATACGAGCAACAATAAATAGCAGCAAGCGATGCGATGCTTGCAGCTGTTTCGATTTTTATGCTCAACGGTTGCCACTGAATTATTGGTGGTTCATCTTCTCTGTTGCATGTATTTTTTTTTCTCCACATTTTACCCAGAGCGAGCGCTACGCAGCTGGCGGCATTAATCCAGCATTCACATGCAGAGAGAGAGATGCACAGACATTGCCATGCAGTTGCTGCGGCTCGTAAAGCAACCAACAATGCCGCATTGCTCCGTTTCCGGTGGCTGTTGCTGATCTCCAATCCCAATCGCAGCCCTAACCGCCGCCCATTGCATTTTTGTAGTGATTTGCATGCAGTGGCATGTCCTGCCACGCGGCTCGACCGAGCTCGTGTGTGCGTGTATGTATATTTATGTGTGAGGTCAGTTTTTTGGCCCCATCCGCACTTTCAATTGAACCGTAACGTGGATGGCCTTTTGGGGTAAACCGTAGGGGGCATACGCACTCTCTGATTGCATCAACTCGAAATAATGTAATTAGTTTTTGTGCCGCGGTTAGCAGCGGTTCTTGTGTGGTTTTGCAATTGGTTTGGACACCATGCCCACTGGGGGCAGCCTTTTACGCGTATCTGCTTGATGCTGGTATATGTGCTTCATGTAGAGAAATCTGTCCCTGAAACACATTAAAGTGTTTCCCCATTTTAGTAACCCACTCTCAAATAAGCGACTGTTTCAAAATCAATTAAACTTTGTGCTTAGAGATAACGTATTGTTCGGAATACTTTCAACTTTATGGCATTTCAATGAATGTTTGCTTTTAAGGGAGATCAGTTGCATGCTATACTAGATTTCACTAGGTTAGAAAACTGACTGGCAATAGTTTAAAAATTGCAAAAATTTTATTTCCAGCATTTTCAATTTCGACAATGATAATTCCTGAATGCATAAGGTTGCTTTCACCGCTAAACAAAATGTTACTCTGTTAAAGTAATTTCTATATTCATCAAAATCTCCTGCCTTCGCGTAAGAGAATTGACACAAGGCGGCATACTTTTATTTAAAAAAAATCGTTATACAATGCGAATTTCTTTCGACTGAAATGTCTGTTGCCATGTCGCCTTTTCGCTAAATCTGCCCTACTTCATTACGTGGCCTTAATACATACAATAATATTTAAGTACCTTTTATATCAACATGCTGCAACATTTGGATAGACCGAAACCCATTTGGAAGCATTCCCTATCGCCCGTAGCGTAGAAATAGAGAGCAGCATTGGCGAATTTAATGCTAGCCATTTCGAGTGTTATGTGCTCCACAACCAATGCCAAAATTATCGCGTAGTTCGCAGAGCTGTCAAATAATTAATTAGAAAATAATTGCTGGAAATAATTCATTGGACCGGCGGGACATTCATATACTTACAAACACGCAGACATAGCCATAAACAGATAGGCAGGCGGATATATGGGATGGCGTTGTTGAAAGAGAAAAGAAATCACAACACGAATATCCAGCCTGCGAGCTTTGATTTCTTATTGGCCAAATGGAAAATGGGGCAGCAGCAGATACGTGTGTGTGTGTTTGCGTGTGTGAAAGCCTGTGTGTGCGATAGCCAATTCCAACCACTCATTCCGTATGCATTTGATTGACGCCCCGCACCTCGCCGGCTGTCATGTTGCCATGCTGAACCCAAATTAATCATTGCTATGCAGCATAATTTATTATGTCACACTGTTGGCCACAGTGGCCGCAGCCCCAGGGGCAGCCGCTGGGACAGTGGGGCCAACAAACTGAACTAAATAGGAGTTGGGCATAGGCGTTTACTTCCTGTGGTCGACTGGTTTGTCATGGCCCATTTAAAAACAGCAGATATGTGGGTGCTGGTGTGTATTTGTGTGTGTGTGTGTGTATGGGTGGGTGGGGTGAAACTCCTGAATCAAATGTAAAGCTTTGAATAATTAGAGGCCCATTGCGAACTCGCAGCGTGCTCCAGTTGATTTAATCGGGTTAATAGCCTTTGCATGTCGCGCACTGTGGACTTAGGAGGTGTTAAATGTTTGTAATGACCGCACATCAACTTTAATAGCCATGGTTTGAAATAATGAAGAAAAAGTGCCACTGGAAACGGGAGAACTTGGGACTGATCAGCTTTTGTTATCCACGTGTGTGCGTTGTGTGTGTATGCGTCGTTGTAAAACATCAAAAGGTTTCCGTTTTGCAACACACGAGACTTGCATAATTTTTATTGTGTTTGTTCCCAGCTAGCATGACTCATACGCCCCGTTATCCCATCAAGTTTTTAATGAAAAATTGTATATAAAAATGTAGTGAAAAATCGTGTTTAGCATGCAATAAAATTCAAATCAATTCCAATTGCTTCGCGTCCGCTTCAGCTCCACTTTGAAATAACAAATGCCAGTTCTAAAAATATATTTTATATTTTTAAAAGTTATTTTTATTGCATTTTTTTCCTTTTTTCGTTTGTATGCATCTCAAATATTCCTTTTTTGTTTTGTTTTGTTTTAGTTTTATGTGTGTTTTTTTGCGCCATTTTATTTGCCATTCGCATGTATTGTTACATTCTCTGCAAGTTTTTAAAGATTTTCCATTTTGAGTTTATTTTTAATGCTTGTTTACAATTTGTCACAACCTTACAAATTGAAAATTGATATAAACCAGTATATAGTTTTTGTTCAATTAAATTTGTATCTTGTTTATAGCCATTTAAGTTTTGTATCTGTGTGCGTGTGTATGAAATAAGTCAATGTAGAGGGAGAAATGTGCGGGAACACGAGTATTGGAGAACGTTTTGTTTTCTGGGAGAGGGCTGCTGTGTGTGATGGTTGCGGGAGTCCGCTAATATAATACTATTCGTCTAGTTTGTTATCTGTTATCAATTTTGCTTGTAAGGAAGCGTCTGGGGACGCTAAACTTCCAACTCTGGTCTCTATACACATTGCTAAATTTAAAAAATATTTTCCATCCTCATTTAAGTGTTGAAATATCTAAACAATGCTTTTATTCATCTTGGGGAGGGGTAATTCTGTTCACGAGTTTTTAATTCATATATTTTTTTTCACTTAATTTTTGTTTTTTTTTATTTTTTTATTTTAGTTTTGCGTTTTGCATTTGTTTGCTTTGTCCATTCATAAAAACAAATGGTACAACTTACAATTTGGCACATCTTTAAAGATAAGTGTTTATTTTTGTTTTTTCATATAATATATATTTATATATATAGTTTATATTTATACTTTATATAACGCCTATGCGTATGCTCTATGTGAAAGTGAACAAAAGCGGCGTTGGCTTATGGTTAGACTACACAGATTAAAGATTACAGCTTAAAGATTCGTAATTCTCATTCTTGCTCTTGTACTGGGTGTTAAAATTGGGTGTGTGTAAGAGGGATGGGCGCACAGATAATCAAGTAAAAATTAAAATATCTTTTATAAGTAGCTATGTTTATATATGCATATATATATATTTATAAATATATATGTTTATAAATATATATATAACATTATAGCTGCAGTGTTTGATTGAGTTGCATTTGCATTTTACATATTTAGACTTAGGTTGACTTTAGTTCATACCTTGCTTAAGACTGTGTTTTGTTTTTGTATTAAAAAATTGCGGTGGAAGTTGAGTTTATAATTTTTTTTTTTGTATGTATTATATATTATGTTTAATTTTTAATAACTACTTGGTTTATTTCGCCTTGTATATCAAACCCAAAAGTATTTGTTTTTCGTTCAATTATTTATTTTTGTGTGTGCTGCCAAAGAGTGTGATATACTTTAAGTTTTTCTAGTTGTTGTTAATATGTATTTATTTCTGTGCTATTTTAAAAGTTTTTCTTTTATTTTTGTTACTTTAATTAAGTGTCTATTCACTTGAAAGCTACATTTAATTTGGCAATTGTTGGGTTTGAATTGATTTGTTTCATTTAGTATTATTTTATTTTTGTGTCTGTCGTCGGCATAAAAACTAAATCTAACTAAAAATCATTTTTAAATATAAACTTTGGCTTGAAAAATGTCAACGTAATTATACTTAATATGTTATTTTTTTTATTATTATTATTATTTTTTTTTTTTAATTTTTTTTGTATAATGATATTTAAAGAAACATTTAAAATCTGAGTATGACATAAATTGCTTCAAGTTGCCGTTGTATGGCTGTGCAAATGTGTGTGAGAATAAGAAAATTCATAGTAATTATTTACAATCTCAGACAACGAATTGTTTAGTAGAAAACACAAGATTGCAGATTTCTCACCAGGCTACAATCAAATATCGCATGGAGTATAATCAATGAAGAGTAAATATTTTTGGATTTTGTTTGATTAAAAGGATAAATTCGAAAGATCAATTGCACAGTTACATACACACAAAAACGAATCAAAGATATATTGGTTTATATTATTTATAAACAACTAGTATAAATTTTGCGACAGTAGCTGTCTAAGAATCGAAATAGAGAACGAGGTCAAATTACTTCTTGAGCATTTCCTTTCTATTTTTACTTATTTACTTATATATTTTTTTTTTTTTTTATTTCTTTGGATTTGTTTTTCCAACATACATTTCAAAATACACAACTGTAAAAGTGAATTGTGTGCATTAGACTTTATAGAGTATGTGTAAAATAAATTCTTAGCTTGCTTAGGGAAGTTTTGTGGTCTAGACCCAAAATGAACAACACTGAAACGATGTGAAGTTATTTGTTATATAATTGTTTTTGAAAATTTTTCATTTCTGATTTTGTTTCTTTTTTCTTTTTTCGTTTAGCTTTTTGTTTTTTACACAACACACAAAGAAAGTGCTACATAGTAAGAGCTAATAATGTACTTTATTTTAATGCTTACTACACAATTTTCACGTTTCCGTTTCTGGGTTTTCTTTTTTTTTTTTTATCTTTCTGTCACTGGAAGCTTGAAGTTAAAAACTATTATGCATTAATATTTTAATTTTATACTCATTATTTATATTATTTTTTTTTGTTTTTTTTTTTTTGTTGCTGCTACGGCCGCATTAAAGTAATTATTATTGTATGTTCCAAGGATATGTCTACGTGTTGATCTGTTGCATTAACTTATGCACTACAAGTTGAGCAATATCATGTTCATTGAGTTGACTATGCATTTTAGCTGCCGAAAAAAGTTTCTAGGAACAATAATAAGCAAAGCAGATTAAAAAACGTGTTTAAAATATAATTGTTGACGATAATAAAATGAGTATTCTTTGGAGACTTAAAAATGTATAAAGAAATTAAGGTAAAATGTTCTCATATGTCTGTTCTAATAAAATGTTTTTTTGTTTGGCAACTTTTTTTTTTTGTTAGTTTTGTGTATTTGTATATATAAAAATATAATATACAATTCAATGTCTGGCGCTTGTTTTTGTTTCTTATTGCTTACTACAGACTACACTGATATACAAATACATGAAACAGAAAATAATCAAATTTGTATATATATAAATATAAAGCTAACTTAATGAACAAAACTATTGAACAAAAAATAAATGTTCTTTTTTTTCGGTTGTTAATTTTTGAGTTGGCAAATACATTAAAATTGCTCCTTTTTTGATATACAAATACCATATCTATTGGTATAATAATCATAATAATTATATATCCTGTTGGTATATATATATATATATTTTTTTTAAATATAAATTCTGCCGCACAAAATTTCAGCTTTTGTTTTTGGTAAAAATCTACGCATGAAGCACGTTTTGCAAACTAATTGCCATTTAAATATTTTGTGTATACTGCATTTCTTGTTGTTTTCATCATTTTTTTTTTGTTTTGTTTTTATGGACGACATTGATTTTTTTTTGTTTAAAAAATTTTAGTTTGTTTTTTAAATTTTATTTTGCTTAATTTGCCACAGGTTTGCAGCTGCTTTTAGCTTTGATTTTCATCTCTCCATATATTGAGCGGGTTTTGTTTTGTTTTTTTTTTTTTTTTTGTTTTGTTCGATCATCTTTGAGCATCTGGTTTTGCGTTAGAATTAACTTCTACTTACTGCACTGTAGAGGAGGAGTATTTACGTCTAATTTTTGTTCATACATTGAGCATTTTCGAGAGTAGTTCAAGTGCGTTATTTGGCTGACTTATGAAGCTTTCTAATATGGCGTAAAACGATTGAAGCCACCGCGATACAGTGTTGCCTTTAGGAGAGATAGTGGAGTAGATTGCGAAACGTTGATATAAGTAATATAATAGATAATCAAATATAATATGTTCCCGATTGATTTGTCAAGAATTGGTTGAAATTTGTTTAGGACACTTACCCCATAGCCTGGCATGGGTCCAATGCCATGTCCTAGATAAGGATCCGCATACTCGCGCGCGTAACTAGAAATATTTCGTTTGCGATTTATTAGTTAAATACTTGATGAAAATAAGTTGTTATAAATATGATTTAGGAATGCGATCGTTTCTTGATGTCTCCACTTGGGTTAGGTTTGTTTAGTTTGTGTGCTTTTTGTTAGTTGTTGCTCTTAGCATAAGGTGAATCCTTTGATTCTTCTTCAAACGTCACTTCTTCATAACTTCAAAACTGGATTCTCCAAAGTGTTAGTCTCTAATTAATTATCTTTTGTAAATATCATCTCGTGCTCAGCTGATGGTTTCTTCTATTTCCCAGTTTCTTTTGACTTAGTTTAGTAAAAATGGTTTAGTTTCGATATAGTTTTGCAAAAATGTTCAATGGTTAGTTGTAAATCATCAGTTTTCGTTGTTAGACTTTTCCTACTCTTGATAATTTATTTTATGATTTAAGAATTGTACAAAAAAGAATCAAATCAAATAGATTAGTGAAGGTTACAGTAAATTATAAAACAAAATTGAATATGAATTATGAAATTTTGAAATAAAATATACAATAAAATACTAAGAAATAAATACTGATAAATAAAGAATATGTTCGAATATGAAGAAATAAATACTGTTAAATAAAGATTGACTTGAGAAATACAATATTCTGAATAAAATATGAAATTAAGCAATACAAATTATGTTCGGGGTGCCGAAGAGTAAAATAATTGCGGACATATTGCAGATTTTCAATATATTTCTAAATTTTCGAATATATCGTCCAAAAAGGGCGAGAGAGCGGTTTATAATTATGTAAGAAATATGCTTAAGAAACCGAGTCTCAACGTGTATTCTCAGAAAACGGTGCTTTTATAGATAATTATGTGGTATACGAGAATTCATAGTCACAATTTGGTGACTTTCGTACAGTTTCTGAAACGAACCAACGGAATTACGGACGGATATAGCTGGATTGACTCGGCTGTTTTGCAAATGTGAGTTATAAACAAGTCTAGGGTAGATATAACGATATACATAAATAATACAATAACATAAAAAGTTGACAACATAATAAAGAAAAGTTAAGTAATAAATTTCAAATCAAGTAAAAAGATACATTGTTCAAATAAGTTCCGTTTCATATAATATTTCTTGTAAAAACCCTTACCTGAAGCTTTCAATAAAATAGAAAAAATAAATCTATTAAGCCTTAAAATAAATTAGTTAGTCAATTAACCTAACTTCAAAATACATTTCTTGGCCCAACTACATGAATTGACCCAGTTTTAAGATTCAAGGTTAACACGCGGTAAAAACCAATTTTAGTAAATTCCTTTAAATTAGTTAATGTTTTTATTATTTGAAATAATTTTTAGGTGTGTTGAATATGACAGAATATGTTGAGTTAATGGTAGGTTTAGTCAAGTGTTTCGTGGAGAATTTGTGAATGTGAAGCAGCTCAACTTTGGCTGAGGCAGCAAGTGGCGCACATGGAAAATTTTGATGAAAACTTACCCCGCTACGGTGGCATAGCCAGCGAGTGCTGGTTGGGCGGCTGCTGCTGCAGCGGCGCCGTAGGCGGCCCGGGCAGCGACCGCCGTGTAGGTGGTGGCCGCCGTGGCGTACGCCTGCTGCTGGGCCTGAGACAGGGGTGTCTTTAACAGCGGAGCAGTGGCCTGGAATAATTTGAAGCAAATTGTGTGTTAAAGGTGGGGGACAAATCGAACAAATGCAACGGCAACGACAAAACTAGCGACAGGTGATAGAGAGCAAAATGGCAAATAGAGTTAAGAACCTAAACCACAACAAAAAAAAAGAAAAAGAAGAGGAGTGCAAACAAATTATATCAGTGCGTTTTTGTTTTTATATATAAATAGATATAAATCTAATATTTAAGGGGGTGACCAGCGAATTCAAGCTATAAGCCCAAGATGCCAAAAATCTTATGGATATACGTAGTAATTAAATGCTACAAACAAAGCGCCAAAAGTGCAGGGAATTATAAAGAACTTATAGCATATTGATTATGGCTAGTATTCAGATCATAACTTAGATATGGGTGCAAGACATAAAGCGCAGTCCCATGAAAAACAGAAAAAAAAAACAACAATACACATACATATAACCGAAACTTAAAATTGGGCACAACAAACAATAAATCTCTAATGGATTTGAATAATATATTTGATTGGAATTTTCAAAATTGCTAGCTAAAAATGATTATTTTTACCAAAACATTCTGTGGTACCGGAATGCGGTTGATCGTATGTGGGGTACTGTTTAGCGTAGTCACAGTGCGGCGCTGTAAGTTTTTCGATATATTTGGTATAATTTTTTTGTATAAATTTTGGTTTTGATAATGTTGTAACGATATTTGATGCAGTTGTTGTTGTTGTTGTTATTGTTGTTGTTGTTGCGTATGTTGTAACAGTCGTGAAAAAAGTAACCAAAAAAGAATACATACTTAGTAATTACGAAAATGTTCACAGCATTGAAGAATATTTATTTATATGCTACTTAAGTTTAGATTTAATTGAAGATATCAGTCTAATATATATATATATATATTTATATATATATAGATTTTAAAAGCAAAATTCAAATCAAACCAAAACTTGCGTGAAAAATGTTGATAAACATGTAGTAAAAAACAAGAGAAAATTATATTTTAAGTTCTTTCGTTTTCAAATCATAATTTAGACAGAGTGACAGAGACAGTGAGAAAGAGAGAGAGAGAGAGAGAGAGAGAGAGAGAGAGAGAGAGAGAGAGAGGAAGAGCGGCATGCAGCCTGAAAGTATGCTATGCGTCTTTAAGTGGCCGCTAATTAAAGCATTTGTTTTTTTTTTTTGTATTTCTCTTGGAGACTACGCGTGTAATTTGAATATACTTAGATAGTTATAAAAATGTGTTAACAAAATCAATTAAGGATGCAAATATGTAATCGCTTTATAAGTAGAAATAGACGTAAGTATTCAAACACAATGGTAATATACATATATACGAGTATTTAAATACATAAAAGCAATTATTTATGTATGAAAATTTGTTAATGACGCTCAGCACTGGGCCCTAATTCGAATTTATAATATATATATTTTTTGTTTGTGGTGTTGTGATTTATATGTAGTATACACGCTTTTATATATGCCAAAATTTTACAGACTTAGTTGCACGACCAGTTACCAAAGGATAATAAACAATAGAAAAACACCAATCCCAATGTGTGGGTACGTAAAGAAAGAAGTGTATCTCAAAACGCGTCGTTAGTGTTATATGCAATTATAATATGGAACAAAAAAAAGGATAACAAAAGAAGTAAAAAATAATTGTACAAACATATATAGAGGAATGTTCTGTTCAAAAACCAAGTCAAATATTGGTGTCTTTCACAAGTTCAATAGAAGGTAATGTGTAAATAAATGTGTATGTACGAGTGTATAATAAATATTATAGTTAAGAAAACGTTCTCAAAACGTTTTTCTTATGCTTTACGGTTAGCGTATCAATTTGAATAGATTTCATTACATTTAATATGGCGGCTGGCTGTGCGGCTGGAACTTCAGTGACCGGTTTGGCTGCCTGTAAAATTTATATATAATATATATATGTATATATATTTTGAAAACGAAGGCTTTTTTAGTTTAGCTAGCCAGCTTTAAATTAGTTATTAACATAGCTTAACATATAATACACATATCCTATATCTAAATGATTGTCTTAACAAAAAATATTTTGGTGTACAATTTTGATAGACTTACCTGGAAGCGTAGATTTGGATCAGCGGAAGCAGCGGCTGCTAAGAAGGGATCATAGTATACGCTGTGTGTGTTTAAGAAGAAGGATAAGACGGAATTCAAGATTAATAACTCACTTGGGCACTTGTTACAATTGGTTTCAATGTCAGCTGAGCCGGATCAACACAAAAACATTTCCAATAAATATTGTTCTTCATTTGATCTGACTCAACTGTCAGTTGGATAGCACTTAAAAGCAAAATTCAAAAATGTTTTTATACATATATTATATTATTATTTTTCTTTTTATATTTTTATTATTTTTTTTTAACGCACTTGTGTGTGGGTTTTTGTTTGGGCGTTATGGGCAGAAGGTAATTACATAGTTTTGGCGCTTCATATCACTGTGTGATATATTTGTATTAATTTTTTGCGAAAACTTTGCCTTTACCTTTGTCTGTTTAATTTTTTGCATTGGGTATAATGGCTGAAACTCAAGGTGTAACTGAAAAAGTAAGTAAGCCCTAACCGTATCCTCACAGAAACGAAATTCCCACCTAAGAAACCTAACACCTAGCACTAAACCTAATATTCTGTGCCCTTTGTTTGCTTTATCCTAATTGATGACGAGGTGATTTTTAGGTTATGCATATGCATTTGTAAATTATAAGTAGAACACTAGCAAGGATAATCAACCATATATGGTAAGTACGGGTACACATTACAATTGCCCGATACTACAAAAAACACTTGTTGTTCGACCTCTGCATTTTAATAGACAGAACAGACATTCATGCACCTAGCTAATTAGTTGGGTAGAATTCATATATAATGGTATAGCATTATCATCGTTATCATCATTCATACGCTATTATTTAGTTTATTAGAACAGCAGCCACAGAAAGAACAAAAAAAAAAAATAGAACGGGTGTATTTAGAAATAAAAATATTAATAATTATTGAGATATAGAGGAAACATGCGCGGCAGCAGCAGCAGACGCATCAAAAACATTTGTAAATCAATTCAATTTCAAATTCATCATACGCCTAGTGGTACACAATATACAATTACGTAGTTCCCTTTTACCAAAATAATCAAATAATTATACGAACATATTAAACGATGCCAAAAAATTTCTCTCAGTCAAGAATATATAGTTGTATATCTATATATATATATATATTTGTTATATATATATATGTTTTATTTTAAATAGTTTATGTAGTAGTTGGCGTGCGTTAATTGGTTGCTGCTTTTGTAGCTGTTGTTGTTTTAGTTGACTTTATACAAGAGACAAGTCTAAACTTGCGGTTGAATTAGATGGTACATTAGGCAAATGTGGCGCTATGCATATATATTTTTTTTAATATACTTATTAAAACGTTACACACACAAGGTAGCTAAATATTTAAAGAAAATCACCGCATGGACCAAAAATTGAGAGACAAAAAAACAACGTTAAAGCTATAAACAATTTGCGCTCGAAGTTGGAGGTGGCTGGGATGTGGGATGAGGTTGTTTATATTATGGGGATTTGGGAAAAGTTAAGTTGTGTAAAATGATGACAGATCGTGTCTAACAGTAACACCATCAGCAGCAGCTGGCACAACGTGGCGTATGCGTAATATTTTGTTGCATGCAATTCTGTGAGCCAGTTGTTCTTGCAGCTGCTGCTGCTGCTGTTGCTGCAGTTGTTGTTGATTTGAGTAAGCGTTTGAGAGCGAGCGTAGACACCACATAAACAAAAAGTAAGTGCGCTAAAACTACATTCAATATATAAGATTATTTAACTAAATAAAAAAAAAAAGAAAAGAAAACAAGGTACAACTAGAGCTACATGAAAGTATTTTTTTCTTTTCTTTTATGGCGATTTTTGCGACGGCGACGATTTTGGGGCAACGTGGAGTGAACTCTACTTACGGCGCAAATCCATGCAAAGCGCTGTTGGCCGCATTAGCCGACGCTGCCATGGAAGCAGCAGCCGCAGCAGCAGCGGCCGGCGTTTGGGAAGCCGTGGCAGCGGAGAGGCGTGCCGCATACGCAGCGGCGGCGGCAGCGTTCGCATTGCCCGCCACGCCCGAATTTTGTGCAGCTGCGGCAGCTGCCAGCGATTGATGCAGCGCCGAGTGTTGCTGAGCGGCAGCAGCCGCAGCACTGCCAGCGGCAGTGGGCACCCCGACCGCCTGGAGCGTCGGCTGCAGCTGGGCGAGCTGGGGGGCGAGAGCATGCGCATGTGCATGCTGATGTGTGTGAGCGGCGGCGGCGGCGGCGGCAGCGGCGTGTTGCGAGTGCTGGGCAGCGGCGGCGGCGGCTACTGCGGCATGTTGTTGCTGTTGTTGCTGCTGTTGTTGTTGTTGCTGTTGTTGTTGCTGCTGCTGCTGATGCTGCTGTTGCTGTTGTTGCTGGTGCTGCTGCTGTTGGGCGGCTGCTGCGGCCACGGCAGCGGCGGCCACTTGACGTTGCTGTTGCTGCTGGGCGGCGGCAACCAGCGCCTGGTGATGGTGCGGATGATGGGGATGATGGAAGGGTGTGGCACCGACCACGCCCACGTGTCCACGTTGTATGGCAACTCCACGCATGGCAGCGGCGGCGGCTACGGCGGCTGTGAGGCGGCCAAACGATTTTTTGTTTTTGGATTTTGATTTTTGATTGATATTTTTGCAACGATTTGTACACAACATTTTTACCAGTGTGTGTGTGTGTGTGTGTGAGTGTTGTAAGTGTGTGTTGTGTGTGGGTGTTTGTACACACGCATTACATTTTATATATGTTTCGTGTGTATTTGTGTGTTTGTTCGTTTGTTTTTGTTCGTGTGCAAAAAGTAGAAAAAAGGAAAAGAAAAGAACATAAAATGCATGCGGTTAGTTTCTCTCTCTTTATATAAGTAAATTTATATATATTTATATATATAGTATATAGCATATAGTATATGTTTAGCAAATACTAGGCAATATGTAGTAACTGTTTGAATGTATATAGTTTAGGTATCGATTGAGTACTGAAATGATTTTGGTATATACATATAACAATACATAAGACATACGTGAAGTCAGTCATTTAAAGGGGGATTCAGTTTGAAACATACTTAACATTATAACATTGAATTACCAAGAAATGCTACGCAGTTGTTTTTTTTTTATTGTTTGTGGTGTGTGTTTTAAAGATATATACGATTGAATATGACCATCCATTAACAATACCAAAAACATTTCACCGATCTGCAGTTTAGATTAAAAACATATATAGAATTCATATTTTACGTGTGTATGCGGCAAGACATTTTGTTTTGTTACAACTTATTGCATTTAATTTTGGTCAAAGTATTTTTAGAGGTTTTCGTATACAAAGCATAAAAAAAAATATATATGTTTATATAGAAAGTTGTACGATTTAGCTAACTTTGGTATATTAAGCCCTACAGCCTTAAAACAAAATCAAAACTATTAAAACACATTTACTAAAAACAATATAAATGGAACAAAGCTTACAGATATGAGATCTTTTGCAACGGCAAATGACTGTGCTCAGATAATCTAGAGTAAAAACGTTGTATTTCACAGGCTTTACATTAAAGTAAAACACAAATAGCATGAAATGCTTTTAAATCTTTTAAAATTTATAATATGTCAAACATCGATGGATGCCATTGCGGCTTGGCACGCAATTAAAATTACATTTGTTGCTCATGTTGAACAATTGACCAGTCTGGCCGCAATAACCAGGATAAAAGCGAACATAATTGGAGCCTCAGCTGCAATTGCGGCAACTTTTACACAGTTCATTTTGAAAATCTAACGCATCTATTATTATTAATGAAATTTATCAGCCCAAAAACAAATTTTTATTTTAATTTAAATTCGATTTTACTATTCGAATGCAAATTAAAAGCTGGACAGAGCACAAATGATTTAGATTTTCAACAAAGTAAAGGCCACTTTTAATTTCAATTACCAAAGTTAATTTCGATTTTTGCTATTTACAAATAAAAAAGCATTAAAGCCAAGCAATTAAAGTGTATAACTTCTGGCCGTATCTTTTTGTAGCATGCAACAAACTGTAGAAACGTATCGTCTTCGCAACTTGACAATAATTCCTTATCGAGACAATCTTATTTAACTTAATTTCATTTTCCATTTGCATTTAATTTAAAAAACTTGTATTTTTGGCGATGAAAACACAAAAAGTAAAACGTGCACAATTGCAAAGTAAGTAAAAACATATCAAGAGTATAAACAGAGAGATATGAAACAATAGAGAAATATATAAACAGAGAGAAAGATTGAGACAGTGAGAGATAGAGAGAGAAAGAGTACAAGAGTTGCTAAAAACTAATGATCTAAAAGAAAAGCCTTTTTAAATTGCTTGCTGCGCAAAAATTGTCTACCGTCACACGATATTGGGTACGCTATAAATTACGATATATAGTAGGTACACTATGGTTAAAGCTAAAAACCTTTCCATACTTAATTGCTAATTACAGTTGTCATGTGAAGTTGCCACTAGTTGGTTGATTGATTGATTGACTGATTGGTTGGTTCTTGGGTTCGTGGATTTGTGTTTACTTGTGTGTGCCTAGCCGTAGAACAATGCAATCTCAAGGGCACCAAAAGGTATGCAATATATAGTACTTGGCATACAGTCAAACCCAAATGCGTAACCAAATTAACAAGACAACAAATATATATATATATATATATGTGAGTGTGTAGTAAGTATATGGTACAGATCTCAAAACTAAGAGTTTGTGACTCGTTGTTGACTTTGTAGTTATGCCTTTGTGTATGTGTGTGTGTATGGGTGTGCCTCTCTGTGTATCTGTATGCGTTGGTCTGTCTTTTGTGTGAGTCAGCGAGTTTACTTTATTTTTGAATTCTGCTTTTTTTGGCGCATACACTCAAACAAATTCGATCCAGAATTTTCAATGTACCTCCGCCGTGTCGTTGCTGCTGCAGTTTGCGCCGTCACACCTGCTGGCATTGCACTGTGTGCTGGATGGCGTTGCGCTAACACAATGGGCGTGGCTGTTGGAGTAGCTGTGGGCGTGGGTGCGCTGTGCGCCGCTGGTGCCACTGACGCCGCTTGTGCCATCTGCAGTGGCATCTGCAGCGTCATCGGTGTCAGCGTCGGCGCTCCGGCCCCAACTGGCGCACCCAAAAATGGCCACGCGGCGGCCATGGGCAGCCGATAACCTTGAGGTTCATATACACGTTCATAAATTTTGTTAAAATTGTTTGTATCATTCGATGGATCAGTGGATGAGCTGAATATATGTCTGTCTGTATGTATGTATATATATATATTATATATATATATATATATATATATACGGGTGTGTGTATGGCTGTGTGTTGTATTTACATATCGAATTCTGGGATGCAGTGATTGACGTTCTCTTGGTTCGGCTTGGTTTGGTTTTTGTGATATAGCTTAGGTCTAGTGCTAAGTTAAGCTGCTTGGATCGCGACGAAAGTTAACATTTACATACATTCGTATTTGTAGTTGCGTGGGAATGTGTCTGTGTGTGTATGTAGGTTTCTGTGTATTGACTTAAGTAATAAGTAATTATGCTAAGGAGCATTTCCGACAATGTTCAGATCAAAGAACCAGACCAAAATATATAAAACATAATACGAACTCAGGACATAAAAACAAAATGCACATACAACAAAACTGGTTAAAAGAAATGTGTCAAACAAAATTATATTGATTGTTCATATGTATATAGATATATAGTAAATATATATGTATATATTTATTAAGAGTATATTTATATATAGTAGTTAAGTAGTATGCATAAGACAACACAGCCGCAATATGCTAAAATTCATAACCATTATTCGATGATTACAGGATCATCAGCATCATTAAGACTAGAAAGAAAATGGTGACGCGCCTGATTCAGAATGGGTTTGCGAGCGGTAAGTAACGATTTTTATGTTTTTTTATGCTTCAAATTTTGTTTTTATTTGTTTTCATTCGTGTTTTGTTTTCTATTTTTTGGTTCAATTCTTTTTTCCAAGTTTGGGTTATATGCAAAAGTAAATGACTCAATAAAAAAAAATAAAATAAGTACAATTACAAACAGTCATAAAATATTTAGTATTGTAAAAAGTATGTAGGTTTACGAGTAGAATATATGCATACAGTTTAACGCGGAGCCTAACAATAAAAATGAAATATCTATTAAGTTTTTTGTTAGGTAAATATTGAATAATGAGCATTTCAAATGATTTCTTGTACTGTCAAAGATCCCAGTGTTTACATATATATATGTATGCTCTACATGTCGAGCTGCCTAACATTGTTTTCTTATGGGTTGTCATTAAGTTATGTATGTATTTTTGTTTTTTGTCGCTTACACTCTAAAAAATATGCCACGGCTTATACTTATGTTAAAAACTGAACGGGTCTCTTTCGTATACATATAAGATAACTTATTTTTTCTGTATATATGTGTGTGTGTATGTGTCTGTTCAAATTGTTTGTGTTATTTTAGAATTTATAACAAAATACGGCAAGCAATAAATACAAAATACAAATACAGCAAAAAATAGTACAAATAAAACGTGACGGAACGCTTACCTTCAGGCCATTGTACGCAAACTGCAGCCAGTTGATTTATATAAATTGGTGTAGTTTTTTTTGATAGTCGCAGCAGTTGTTGTTTTTGTTTTTGTGGAGCATGGAAAAATCAAGAGAAAACTTTGAATTAGCTTTACATTTAAATTGTGATTTTATTTATATAAATAAAACTTTTTATTTTTTATATACATGACACGCAGCTCAATTACATTTACTAGTTTGGGCCGTGCTAATGCAGTTGCGGTGTAGTTTAAATATTTCTTAATTTTTTTTTTGTATACTGGTTGGGGTTTGTTGCAGCACAGAACATGCATTTTTATTTGAATTTAACAAACATTTATATATTTATAACGCTTTTAGCTTCAATTTAAACGAAACTTGGCGCAATTCGCGTTTAAAGCGAATTGGTTTAACCAAATTTGGTTATATTTGTTTTGATTAAACCTTATATTGAGTTTGTTTTAGAGCTTAGCATGCTGTTTTGTTTTTGTCGCAAATAAACTGACATTTTACGTCACAATGCTGTATTATGCATTTAAGATGCTCACAAAATGATGCAATTGAAAATGTGAAATGCTTCACAATGAAGCAAATTGCCAGCGAAATAACAAATAAGCTCAAATGCTGACTAAACAATCGACTCTAAGCAAACAGAAAGGGAAGGGATTTACAACTAGCGACAAATCGAAAAATGCAGTAAAATAAATGTCAAATAGACGAGCAGGCAGTCAGAAATGTTGTTCCTGCTGGTTGGGCGCATTAAGTTTTACATGTCAAAGGATCAACGAAAAATAAAACAGAAAGAAACATATATGCATATATACATAACATATGTACACGTATGTGAGGGAAGTCAACATACAAAGTAGAAGGCAAACTTTCTTTAAAATGTGTGCGAATGGAAGACATTTGCATAAGACACAACCAAAGGATCAAAACTAAAATGGTTTTGCAACTGCCAAAGGACGTACCAGGCAACAGGAGTTGGTGGAAAGTTTTTGATTTTTTGCTGCTGAAATTTATGTGTGTGCCGCAACATGCTTGCAACATTGTGGTTTTTTTTTTTTTTTTTTTTTATAATTATCCCGACCGCCCGCTTCGCTTGCTTGCAGCGTAACGAGCTCCTGCTCTCAGTCCGTTTGGTGCTAATGCTGCCAGCCGTTTGCCAGGCAAGTGAAGCCAGTTCGAAACGTGATAAAGTAAGTGGCTCCTACCACTTTTTCCCCTTCCGTCTGACCAAGTACCTTTCGGTTTGTCTGTCTATTTCTATAATATGCTGGCAGCCGCATAAATAGCTGGGTGTCCCAGCGGACACACAGCTCGCATTTAGTGCAACGCAAATGAAGCGCATTACGTGCACGTGGCGAGCAGTGCACAGGAGTAGAACAGTTGCCGGGACGGGCAACGGCAGGAAAAGCCAAGCCACGGCAAAGGCAACTGAGGCCAAAGACGCAGCCAGCAGACTCAGCCGCATGTGCAGCATCTGATCTGCTATCTGTCCGTTCGTCTGTCGGTTTGTCTGCATCTAAGTTTGTTGGCGATACAAAAGCATTTTGCATGTCCTGTCCACGTGAAGGCAAAAACTCCGTGGTACCAGCTGCTGGCTACATTTCAGCTGCTTCCCTTTTGCTGGCTCAGTTCAGCTCAGTTTTGTTTGCTTGGGTTTGGTTGGGATGGGTTGGGTTTAGGTGGGGTTTAGGTTGGGTTTGGGCTGGTAAGCGGCTTATCGTATTTGAGCGAAACTAAAGTATAGATTTTGCACTGTGAATACTTTTTAATGGCAACTTGCATGGAAAGGCGATTTAATCAGCAGCATTATTTATTATACATGGCATGGAAACTTTCTTGCTGCTGTTTTATATTTTTTCCTTTTTTTTTTTTTTGTAAGAGAGCAAACTTTTAAGCAACCGCAACTTCAAATGAAATTGTGCGCAGTGCAAACGAAACATTAAGCATCTGAGAACTTCTAACTGACAAAACTTCCCATAAGAAACCACACGACAAGACCAAAGTTTATGTGTTTAACGTATCTAGTTACCCTACAGATAAACATGAAATATTTTATGAATTTAATGCCTCTCTCTCTATATATATATGTATATAGTCGATATGTAAAAAATATTTTTAATAGTTTTGTGCCTACGAAGCTGCATCTTTATATAATGAAGTACGTACAGAAAGTTTATAATCATAGAAAACATGGATATGGTGGACAGTATTCATGCTGGGACTATGAGTGTCAATGCATATGCTTAGATTATATCGTTTAGATGTTGGTATAACAGTTGATTTAGAGTTATTTAGCCAATATGGGGATTCATATCATGCCACCGTTAGCGTGCAACATGCCAGGACATTGTTGACTATAGAGTTGGGTGCTATAGTTAAGGGTTATGCTGGTACGTTATTAGGTGCCTACGTTTATGGACAACATTGAGTGGGTTATTTATTATTTATTATTATTATTATTATTTATATTTTGGCAAGCAAGGCACAACAAGACATATATAACAAATGAAATTTTTCATTTTTATTTGTTCTCTGGTTTGCTCACCTAGAGCTGGAGCCGGTAGGGCACCGTCTTTGGTCAGTACAACTGTGTGGTGGTGTGTAAGAGAAAACAAAGTAAATAAAAAATATTTTGTTTTTTAATTTTGTAATTATCATAATGTGTGTTCAATCATCAGTAAACGGTTTGTTATAGAAAATTTAAATGCAGACATTTTTAACCATAACTCAAAATAACAGAACAAACAAGGCCAAATTTAGCGAATACTTTTTCACGTATGTGTGTGTGTGTGAGTGTGTGCTTTATGGTATTCATTGTTTTGTTAGCAGCCGAAATTTTGGTAAAAGTTGTTAGTGTGGCACAACACAGTTAACAAGTTTTTGATTGCCAAACGCCTCGGTATACGCTTTATTAACAAGTTCTTCAAATTAAATCAAAAGCAATAACAAATTTCCAAGACCAAACATTTTCATTAAGAAACATTTCGGTTCAGGAACTAACATTTTAGCAGCAACCGCAGAAGTTTATGTGAAAAGTTCAACGGGCAAAAAACGAAAAGAAAATATAAATTTTAGAAAAAAGAAATCAACGAAAAGTACGGCAACGCCAAACACAACAACGGCATCGGCCAGTCAAATATTATGGCAGTTGTGTTAAAGTTTTTTATTGTTGTTCTTGTTGTTGTTGTTGCTGTTATTTAAGTTGCCGTTTGCGTGCTTCTCATTTCTTATAGTTCTTCTAGGCCAGACGTAATTGCATTTCTTTGTTCAACATTTAAACTTGTTCGCTACATAGCTTATACATGGGTGTTATATGTGTATGTGTGTGTGTGTGTGTGTGTGTGTGTATAAGCAGGTGTATATTGTGTTTGTGTGTGTACGTTAGAGCAACTTACCGTTGGGTACTGCTGTCACTTTTTTGGTTTGTACACGTGCAGTGGCGTTATTCACCTTCACAATGGTTATTGGTAACGAGAGAGTTCGAGTAACGAGTTCAAAGTAACGAGTAGAGTTGAGTTGAGTTGAGTTGCAGCGAGCGTGGTTGGTTTTGGTGATGGTTTTTTTTTTTTTTTTTGGTTTTAATATAATGTATACATTATATAGATTTATATTTTTTGAAAATTATTGTTTAATCGCAAATCGCATGTACATGTACAAAGAACGTGAAAATAAATTATGTGTTAGTAAACGATTACAATTGAATGAGGTGTATGTGTGTGTGCGTGTGTGTATCTGTGAGAGTGTTTAACCATCTTTAAAAACTGTTAAGGCAAGTGAATAGGCATTCAATTAAAACAGCTAAGGCCCGCTTCCAAAATTTAACTAAATGAGTTTTCCTTCTCGGATCTTTAATATTAATTAACCTATACAAATGCAACGCTTTGCTGCATTTCACGTAATTAGGCAGCTTTCGTTATTTTTCGCTTGCGCTGCAAATAAAATGAATTATCGCTGCCGTCTTTTGTGGCCCGCAGTTAAATTGTTTAAATATCAGTTGGCACTTTGCACATTTTCAGCATATTTTAAATGCCAATTATTTGCGGCTATCCACTCAACATAAATACAGAAATTGGTAAGCGCAGACAGACATTTGCAAGGAAATGCAAAATGGGAAAAAAGTAATTAATTTTTAATTAAAGGCAAATAAAAAAGGCGGCGAATAATTTAAAAATTAATGAGCGTTCGATTAAAATGCGAAATCAAAATGCGCTGACCATGCGTGAATCCGATTTTAAATACGCTTCGCATTGCCAAAAGCACAAGCAATCGGGATTTAAAAATCAGTTTCTGCAACGCGAAAACACGTGAAATAGTTTCACGACACGCAAGTCAAAAGCCCATTTCCCTCTAAAGGGATTCTATTCTTAACCAAATGTAATTTTTTAGTGGCAAATGAGAAACTTGTTATAGGTTTGCAATTAGTTTTAAATAATAGCTTCCCATGTGAATGGGATGTATGCAACTATGTGTGTGTGTGTTGGTGTGTGTGTTGATAGTGTGTGTGATTTATGGTATAGCTTGCATGCACCCACCTCGATTTTGCGTCCCTCAACCACGGTGCCGTGTAGACGTTCGCGTGCTCGTTCTGCATCGTTGCTGTTAGCGAATGTTACAAAACCGAATCCCTGCCATTCGCAATCAAACATGCAATTAAAAAAACATATAGAGTATATAAGAGTATATATGTATATATATACATATATTTAGGTAGAGTATATAGCATATAAATTACGATATAAAACAAGGTCTGTTCCAAGTCATAATGCTAAGCTACAATATACACACAAACAGACTGAGCGTTGGGTAGACAGTGAGGGCCATGGACATGCGGGGCTCAGCATCTTGGGACATGCGTCAGCGCCTTAAATTATGCACATTTTTCGTGTCGTACAGCAACGGCGCCCGTAACTATGCAATTATATCAGTGAGAGGCGGTTGCCAGGAGAATACTGCAAGGGACATTCTGATTTTATACTTTATTTTTTTGTTACTGCTGTTGCTAAACAGGAAAAAGACGTCCAGTGATATTTTTAGCCGGAACACAATGGTTCAAAGTAGTTCTGGCAACGGTGTGACGTTGCCGTCCCTGGACAAAGGACTTCACTTGACTTGAGTATGCCCCTCAAGTGCTCGCCCGGTGCATAATTTAAACGAATCGTGCAACAGGAAAAGGGTGCATAATGGGAACTTACCTTGCTGCCGCGCTCATTGAAGATGATTTCCACGTCCAAAATGTTGCCAAATTGCTGAAGGCAAATAATATGTAGGTTAGCATGAGAAATTGTTGCGACTGCTGCAGCGGACTTACCCCAAACATGGCGCGCAGATCGGGATCCCGGAAGCGAAACGGTATATTGGAGACGTGTAAGCGTTTCGGCTGACTTTTGGCATCCAACGAGGCAGCGGCGGCTACGGCGGCAGCCACCGATGAGCAGGCCGACTGTGCCGGGACTAGAGCGCTGCTTAGACTAGTGACCACATTGGGTGACTGCACGGTCGCTGTCATAATGCCACTGACTGCGTTTAGATGCGCAATCACCTGAGAGGCGCTTGCGGGCACACCACAATTGGCATTACTATCCAGTCCGGCTGTGGGCAGTAGTCCTGTGGAGATGCTGCAGCTCGTTGCGGCCAAGGTGCCCGAGGCTATGGAGCTGGCGGTCACTGAAGTGGCTGCTATAGGACTGCTGCTTAAATTGAGCTGTTGTTGTTGTTGAAGTTGTTGTTGCTGTTGTTGCTGTTGTTGTTGTTGCTGTGCTGCTGGTGGCGTTTGCAGCAGCGGCTCGCCGCTAGCAATTGGTGATGAGTTGCCCGATACGTTGCCATCGTTGGGGATGCTATTGCTGTTGCTGTTGCCATTGAGTGTGGCTGCTGTCGAGGCAACTGTTACGCTGGACGGTGAGCTGCTGAGCGGTGAGCTGGGCATGCCACCGCCGCCGCCGCCACCGCCACCGCCACCACCAGCATGTGGCAACGCAGAGTTCTGCTGTGCCTCCGCTGCCTCACTGGCAATCAATACTGTGGACTGTGGCAGAAACGAGAAAAAAGAATAGATTGAACAAATTAATTTGTAAATTGCGCCAGGCATTTCGCATATTCTTAAAGTAAATCTCATTTATCTAATGGATCTTTGAAAATTAAACGGATCGCATGAAAAATTAAAAAGTTGCATATAACAGTTTTCCACAAGTTATCTAAACTTGCGGGTGGAATTTTACTTTTCAATTTAATCACATATAAATATAGTCCTATATACAGCGATATATACTCTAACTTATCGTATAACCTTTACTTTTACACGATGTCATCAGACCAAACTGATTTGATAGAGCCCGTCTATTATGATTTGTGAATTAGAGATACCTGAATAAAAGAAACTGCTGAACTAGGCACAGGCTACTTCTTCTACTAGTCGATATTATAGTACAGATAATAATAATAGATAATAATAGATATATTTGGTTTTCAAAATGAACCCAAATAGAACCCTCATCGACTTTTATTCCAGCAAATACAACGTATTTTCAAAATTTTGTCACTTTTTTTTTTAATACCAATCAATTGTATTTTAAAAGTATAATTTGATTGAATCTACTATAATATTGGCAAACATTTGTTAACACCTGCTTTAGTAAGTGTTGAAATGCTTTAGTAAAAATGCATTATTATAAATTGGTGAAATGTAAAAATATTCGTAGTTGTCGATGATGTTGTGGTTGCTGCAGCTGCCACATGGAAAATCGAATGCGAACAAGTGCCGCAATAAATAAACAATTGAAATGAAAATACAATTTTCAAGTGGTTTGTAGACTGACAGTCACACACACACACACACACGTTATGCACTGCAACGTGCAACTGTCTGTCTGTGTGTGTGTGGGTGACCCAATAAAAAAGTTACAAAGCACACACAGTTCGACAGACAAGCGGACAGACTGTCGAACCCATGGAATGGCACATTTGTGGCACAGACTTTTGTTGACTTATGCAATAAAACTGTCGCGCAAGTACTGCAATTCCCCTTACTGCAACCAAATCCCAGCGACGACCCTGCGGATGTGTTTGCATTTGTATTTTTGCATTATTAAAACTGAATATGCACAGTGGCATGTTGCCTATTGGCATTGTTGTCAGCCAACCAGGCCATGCCCAAGCACATCCCACAGAGTCACCCTCAGAACCATCCCCTCTGTCTCTCTCGCACTCTATCTCTGGGTTTGAATAATTTCATATTATTGTCAATTTACGCACACGATCAAAATGCACTGGCGAATGCAATAATAACAATAGCAAATAAATTCGAACCGCCCATAGCATACACACGCCCCATAAAGTAGGCAATATAAATGACGCCAACTTAATTTTGGGTTTCGTTCGGAATTCGTATTAAATGCGCATTGTTGACACATAAATCTAAGCAAATTCTTTTTGTAAACTCATATGCATATCAGAGCAGGGTATTCTCTGTACGATTCCGATTGCATGTTAAGCGCACATTTTCATTATTTTCCTTGGATTCAGATGGCGGCTGGTGGGGCAAAGTGAAATAGCGTGAAAAACTTTAGCCGTATAAATGGCTAACGATAACGTAGGTCGGGCCTGAAAATGGACGGGGGCGTTCAGGTATTACAACTTGGAATTGGGATTGGGTTACCCTAAATGACATTTAACGCTTTTTAGTTTATAAAATGCCTTTGTAAGGCACGCGACGCCAGCAAAAAGGTCGCTCGCATTTTGATGCCGCATCAAACATTTTTGCATACATTACGAAACAGCTAAAGAGACAAGTGAGAACGACTGCTTGATACTCTGTACATGGGCTTAAAGCAGCTTTAAAGAAAAAAGTTCAAAAAGTCTATAAAGATTTTATGTTAAGCCGAACCCAAAACAAGTGGCCTTTAAAGTGCGAATTGTGGAATTTCTATTTGACACAGCCGAATTTTTCATTCTAAAATACTTTTCTCATTTAATTAACAGAGTATATCAAATTTTTCCTTGACTCAAAATCAAAGGAATAACATACAAAAGCCAACGCCAAAGGAATTTGAGCTAAATGCTTTAACTTGAATGCGAAAGGTGTTGGCATTATCTAATGCGAGTTGATTTTTTTTTTTTTTTTTCTGTGGTATCTGGTTGAAGTTCTTCAGTTGGTTAGCCACATTGTTGTTAAATAATGAATTTTTGATATACACAAACTAGCTTAGGAATAAATAGAAAATTCTTTATTTTTGCAATAAAGAAAATATTTTTGTCGGACATAAGCATATTTATGTAAAAAACAAAACTTCGAAATACATGTTTTTAACCTAAATGCCAGTATTCTATATAGGTTTTAATTTTTTAATAAATATAATTTAGCTGGAAGACTGCCCAGATTGTATCATCAGCTCAATTGTATAATTTAATTTAAAAAATTATAAACCTAGATAGCTAATTTGCCTTGTCAGGAAATTTATGGAGAATTGTTATGCTGCACAACAATATAAAAGACGCGCTGGGAATGATAATGCGATAGCTGCAATGAATGGCGACCAACTACGTGGTTTTTGTATGACTAAGTAGCAACTTTTGCCTAATGAAGGAGCTGGTCAGCTCCAAAGGCATCAAAAAATAAAACTTAAGCTGCAGAAACCCAGAGCAAGCATGAAACCGAAACCAAACTCATGGCGTACGTATATTTCAATTGTTTGCATTGCTCTCGAGTTGTCCCTTCGTTTTTTGTTTTCTTGACTGTTTATTTTATTATAATTTTTTTTTTGTGATGTTGCTGTGTTGGCCAAACTCACAATGCTGAGCACATTCTGTGGGGTATGCGGTAGCTGCTGCTGCTGCTGTTGCTGCTGCAGTTGCTCCATGGCGTGTCCATTTGTCAGAGGTGCGGGTGGCTGCTGCTGTTGCGTGACCAGCGTCGTGGCAGTTGTTCCCGTGCCAGTTGCTGGTACTGGGGCTGCGGTTCCATTGCTGATGCTGCCATTGTACTGTGTCTGTTGTGTTTGTTGTTGTGTTGACAGATTTGTCTGTGATAAATTTGCGGGAAACAACAAGGATTTGCGTTTAGTTGCCATCACAGGCGCATTCATAGCTGTGCATGTATTTATATATATGCATTTATATATATACATTTGTATAAACATATACAGACATATATATTGGCGTATGTGTGAGTGTGTGAGAGAGTGTAAGTGACACAATGACTACGATAGGCAGACGGTCAGGCAATCAACCAAACGACCAACACCAAAAAATTGCTTAGTATATAAGTACATTGCAATATGTATACATGTTATTAAATATATATATGTATACATATATATAAAACTAATTCATTTTCAATTGCATTTCTCATGGTTTAGTTGCATTTTTTTTTGTTTATTTTTTGTTTTTAAACATGCCTCGAATACAGCTAGCATATTGTTAATTATAAGTATATTAAAAGAGTGATATAACAAAATGCGAAAAAAATAGAAATGATTTAACAGGTTTCTGTTTTTGATATTTTTATACAATCTTACGCTATAATATATTTGTATATATAGATGTGTATGCATTAAAAATCATACAATACATGTCCAAGGATTTTATTTAACTAAGTTGCACACATGTGACTCCATCAACCAGTCAATATCAATAACAATTCATCAATCAGTTGAGCAAACTGTCAAACTTAAAGCATTGCTTAACATGGTGGGGGGAGGCGGTTAATTTTGCTAACAATAAGTGAGAGCCAAATGTATTGTACATAAATACATATATTTGTATATACTTTGAGAGAAATAGATAGATAGATAGATAAATGATCTGTCAATACATCATGCTACCAACACATATTATATTTTTATAAAAAAAAAAACAAGAAGTTTAAAAATTATATGGCTGGATTAGTTCAAACGGCGGGTCAACAAACAGGGCGTATGCGTGATTTACTGTTGTTGCAATTTACATGAGAAGACACCCATCTAAACTTCAGCTACGTTTTTTTTAAATAATATTTAGTATTTATTGTAGACTTTTTGCAGTCGGTCCATTATACACCCATCAACCAGACGGAAGCAAATTCAACCAGATTTATTGGTGCTTTGTTTTATGTTACTTTTCCTTCAAGCAAATAGCATGGTTTCAGACGGAAATGACATCAATTCTGTGTCTTGGTTCTCCCTATTTGTTGGTTTTGTTTTTGCTATTGCAAGCATTTTGCTTGAAGCAATTCGCAATACATATGTGCAGCTGTCTTTGTCCTGTGTTAGTTCTGTTCGAGTTGAAGTCTATGCATGATTTGTGTTTTATTTATGGCAGCCATTTCTTGTTATTGCTGCTCAGTTGGTCAGCTGCTGCAGCTGACCAATTAATATTGAATTTAAATAATGATAGACTAATTGAATGCTGTAAGCCTATATGCAGTTGCTACGTAAGGAAGTGTTGAAAATCCAGTAAGGATGTTATGACAGTTTAATAAAAGACAATTGTCAAAATAAGTTTAAGCTACTGGAAAAACAAATCCTAAAGATTTTTTAGAATTTATATAAATTTATTATATTATACTATATGCTGCTTTTATGTTGCAGTAAGTGTGATTACTTCCTGATTTTCAAAAAAATTAAAAATTGTCTAAACAATGCAACATCCTTGGATTCATTTTAGTAGGTACCAAAGTATACTTAGACCAAATAACGCAAGCTAGTTTTTAAGCCTTAAAAATATTTTGCTGAAACTTTTAATAGATTCGACTTTCGATGCAGGCAATACTCATATTATAGTCGGCCAAAACGAATAACTATATGATATAACGCATCCCATTATCGCAGGTTCAGACTACCCTACAAGAGTGACTATCTCCCAATTAGTTGTTGCCATAAATACAATTGTAACTTTATACGTGTGTTATTTTAATAGTGCTACATTGTGTAGGCGTAATATAAATGAATGTACAATTGATCCAATGTACACAAAGAATTTGTAAATATATTTATAATTTTTGCCTATTTTCACAGTTAGGTTCAACTACAAACGACGAACAGTAGCAGAAGAAAAATATCAAAATTAAACAACGACCAATTTTATTGGCAATAATTAAATATTTGATTATTTATTGCACATGTGAGCCAAAAGTTCGCCAACAATTAAATGCAAACAATTAAACAACTGCGTGCGTATGCGTGTATGTTTCAGCGCGCGTGTGTGTGTGTAGTTTGTGTTGCACTCAAATTAAATGTTACACAAAGGCTTAGTTGAAAAATGCAAAGCTCAACTGTTAAATTATTCAAATGCACGAATCAATTTCATAAACAAATAAGTACATGCCGGTCCTCAAATAACAAATGGTGTGCGTGGCCAAGCTGCAAAATAAAATGTCACGCAGATGCAAATAAACCAATTTAAATGTGTGCACATTTCTTTTTGTTTTATGTGTGTGAACTGATTTTGTAAAAAAGAATTTTGAGTATAAAAAAACTATTTATCAAAATATAAATGCTTGAAATGATTTTCTTAAGACATATGAGAGAGAGAGAGAGATTATGGTGAAAACTCCATGTTCACAAAATTGTTTGCCGCTTTGATTTCGAACAACGTTTGCCTTCTTGTTGTTTTTTTTTTCTTCTAGTTTTCTGTAGTGCGTGTTTTGATTTGTTGTGTTTTTTAATTAGAAAAAAAATGTGAAATGTATGCGAACGCAGTAAACCACAGAGCTGAGCAAAATATCCTCCAGCGTTTGCTGCTGCGCATAAACAATAACCAAAGCGACGTGCTGGACCAGCACCAAAAAGTATGCTATACAAAATATGAATGCTAAATTGTGAGCGCAAGAGCTTAGATTGTGCTCCTCTGCGTGTTGCTGCTGCTGGTATTTACAGTTATGTTCGCAACGCGTGTGATCAAAAATGTAAAACCAACAGCAGCAAGCATGGTGTTCGTTGTCTACTAGTGTGTGTGTGTGTGTGTGTGCGTGAGTTTGTGCATATTTATAGGCACGGCCAACAACTACAAAATGGAATGCAACCAAATTAAGCCAAATCAAAGCAGAGCAAGACCAAACCGAACCCAAAAGCCAAAGCCAAAAATGCTACGAAATACAATCCAAATTACAAACACACTTGCACACACACACACACACACACACACTTACATACAATAATATAGAGTGTAAGAGTGTAGTTAATATAGTAGTTGGCTGGGCAAACTCACCTTTTGTTGAATATACAACGGCGCATTGACGACTACGCCATCGGCAACACTGGTGGAAACTGCCACAGAAGCTGGTGTTGCACCGGTGGCTCCTGTGCTGCCATTGCCCGCTGCTGCAGACTCGGCGGTTGCCTTCAACTGCATTCCAGGCTCAGTTTTGATTGCGGCTGCTGTCACGGCCAGCGACAAGCTCTCGGCCGCTGTGGGCGCACCAGCAGCGGCTGCAGCGGCCGGTCCAGGTGCGGCGGCATAGCCAGCTGGTGCGCCTGGAAAAGGCGCCACGCCAGCCTGCACCATGTGCTGTAAATGAGAGAGGCGGACAAAGGAGGGTATCGGATTAGTATGGTTATCCTTTTTGGGTATTTATGTAAATTAAGAAAAGAAAATAACGAGATAAAATATATTTAAATGCCTAACAAGGTACACACATTTCAGGCTGGGCAAAGGGTTAGTTCTCGAATTATAATTTTAATTACGTTTTAAAATTTGTTGTTCTTATTATAAAGGATAGAATGTAGCCACAAACTGGCTTCAAATAGCAACTATGGGCTTCGGATAAAAGATTCCTGAAATTCGACCTCGAATTTAAGTACTAATAACTTTGGATTCCGAAGACCAAATAGAGTTTAGCTTAAATGAGGAAAGTTATATACTTAATTCACGAATTTTATGCTGAAGTAGTTCTTAGAACCTTATACACAATTTTTTTTTTTTGGAATTCTTGTCATTAGCCCACTCGGATTCTTATTTAAATATAAGCATATCTGTATTTGGGGGAAATTTCCTGTTGCTCAGTTTGTAATGGTCATATGCGATGGGTATCTAACAGTCCGGCACTGTAAACTGATTGTTAGTTGTATTTATGGTGACGCATTTCGGTTTGACTGGACTACCAAAAATGTTTATCTCTGTGTGTGAGTTGCTCTGTGGTCCGTTTCTGCCATAAAAGTGCAAAATGAAATCCATATAGTTTATATTTGCAGGTAACCCATGACCGGTATCTATGGTAGCCGCTAAGCTCTTGGGTAGACAAAGGCGACTGCGAAATACACACACACACCCAAACATATATACACATATACACATTCTCATATACAGCGTGGGCGAGTAGCGTTGCCTGCTCTAAATTGCAATTTTTATTTGTATAAATTTTAGCCATTATTTTGCTTGGGTTACCTTACACCCCCCACAGACACACGCACACATATTCTGTCCCGCTCACGCACACACAGCGCTGCCTGTCAACATCTATGAAATATGCAAAATTTGGAGCTTATTGTAGCTAAATAAAAACCCATCCCATCCTCCTGATGCAGAGCCAAACTCCACCTTTCCAACCATTTTGTCGGCAAACTTTTTGTCATTTGAGAGTAGTCGAGCGAGAGGGGCAGAAAAATAGAGCGAGAAGGGAAGGCAAGCAATGGAAAATGGGGGATTATCATGTGAGTGGCATTTTAATATGTTTTACTGTAAATTTGTTGCCTGCTTTTGTTTGTTGGTTACAGCGCTTGCCTTGTCGGCTACCCGAAATGGATATTAATTTTGGGATTTAACAAAACGTTAGAGATATTTGGGGAATTTTAAAACTGACAGAATCAGCAATCTCTGTCACTTTTGAAATTCTACAAATCTTAAATGTAATTAGTACAATATACGCAGAAATACGGTAATAAAATCGTAAAGAAAACGATTTAAATTGAAAATGAGTATTTTCAGAAAAAGTACGAAACTAAATTGGACAACTTTTTAAAATCAAATTGCTATATATTTAAGAATTGTAAACTTGAAATTTTCAGGTACTATATATTAACTGAAATGCGAACTTTAATCTTGTCCATATATTGATCGGTTTATCTTAAAGGATCAAAGTCTGTTTGGAAAGTTTTTAACTAGAGAGTTTTAAGAGGAAAACAGAAGTTTCGCAATACTAATACACTCTCTTCATTTTGTGAACAGAGTATAAGAAAAGTGCTCCAAAAGTAGCCCAAATCACATCAAAGATAAGAAAAACTTTGTACACAGAAACGTTTGCTATCCAATAATAAACCATGTCTTATGCATTGGCTGCGGTTCGTATCTCATCTCATTAGGCTACCCAAAGAGCAGGCACTGTGAAGGCACACAAATGTCAGTTTTCATATTTTTGGCACCGCCCAATCTCTTCTGGCCGCACACGGGCAGAAACTGCGTCGCCCCTCCTACCACCTTTCTGATCTTCATGTTGATCTTCTTCTTTTGCATTGCAACGCCCAGCGATTTGTGCTTTAAAAAATTAGCTTGTTAATTAAATGCAAGCCATACGACATGTTGAGATGCTTTTCCACCCTCCTGCGCCTTCATTTGCCCCTTTTGCCCAGTCTGTGATGTAATCCGCCGTGCAAATTGGCGCACACTTTGCGCATTCGCCGTGTTGTGCGGCAAGATATATGAAATACATATGTATTACATATTTGTATTTTTTTTGTGCACGCTTACGTACGTGTAAATATCCTATGCCAGTGATGTGCGCGACTAGAAAGAAAATTGTCATGTTGAATTTACATGAAATTCTTCGAAAATTCATTTCGATGTCCCATGAAAAAAAAGTGAGATCTCTGCAGTCGAATGTGGTCGACTGCTCAATACTCTGTGCATACAGCCAAATGCAAACATTCTTTTTGATTTAGGCTTTGGTGATTCTAAAATTGTGACTTTTAGATAACGACTTTCAACCTGTGACTCGAACATTTAAAGAGTTCAGTAATCCATCTGTTATAGTACATTGTAGGGAATTTAGAGATTCATAATTGTCGAAAGCAAACACGACTGTATACCCGAAGTTTGAAGTATCTATAAGTGACTTCTATATCGTTCAAAAGTCTGCCAAACGGATGGTTTTAGATTTGTGTCTTGAGTATACCAAAAATAACTGTATACATATGTATTTTCTTTACTATATGACAAATAACAAAGTATAACAAGCCACGACACGGCGAAGTTACTCATTCCAGCAAATAATGCACTTTTTAAAGGCGAAGGTGTGAGGCGGTCTCTACTGGCTGCCATCACATAAGAGCACTCAACGTGAAACGGGTCGTTGTTGTTGTTGTCGCTGTCTCCTTCGCAGCACTTAATTTGTCTGTCAGAATGATCTAGTCTGCGCCTGGTGCATACGTTTTTTGAATTGTGCAAACCGAGTGCCACTTAAAACAATGCAGTCACAACACAAACACACACCGACACATACATGTGGACTCTTACTTGACCCAGATACTGACCGGATGGATGCTTCAAGCTTTACCAAAACCAGTTCAAGTCTACGGATAATCCTTATTGTGATTAATGTGAGTTCAACGTGCCTAAGGACAACGAGCAAGCGTTATTCTATTCTCCAATTGACTTCGGAAACCATTGTCCTGCAAATGACGGGTAAATAGCTGGCGTTGCCAAAAACGAAGAAGCTGCTTCGAGAGTCGATAGTATACTACTCTACAGTTGCTTTCAGCCTTGTAAAATTGTAACAGCATCGGAATTCATGTTCTCAATATATATTGTTAAATATGGTGCTTCTGAATGTAACAATTAAGTAAAAAATCAACACATATACTGCATATATTGCGCACAATTAACATGGCCATTGATTGGGGGCATCACTTTTATAATTTAACTCCAATTTTGCGAACAATTCTTTCATTTTTATACACTGCTGCATTGTTAAATATTTTGCATTTAATTGCACTCGAATGTTCGTCAGAGTGGCGCGTTTTTTAAGGCCTATTTGCATGGCAAATGTTTCTCCGTTCCGCCCAGTTTTTATTATGATTTCAATGCAGCCCATTCAACCCAGTCCTCCGCCTCCAACTGGCGTCAGCTGGGGCTGTTTTATTGACTGCGTCGACGGCGTCGTTTTTGGGCCCACAGTTTGTTTACATTTGTCGGCAGGCGTTCTATGTGTTGTTTTTGGAACGTTTTCAACAAAACACTTTACGCTTTTCATTTTTGCAACAATTGCGCCGGCTTTCAAGTGGTATTTAAAGTATTTGTCTTGAGTGTTGGCGCAAAATTTCATCAATGCAGCAGTCCTCATGCAGATACATATGTATACGTAAGTAAGCAAGTATTTGCCTCTACCATCAAATTGAAGGCATTTAAGATTAGCAATTTTCGTTTAATATATGCATTATACTCGCTAAAATATTCGTGTGCCGCACGCTGCGTATACGTAATTATTAAGTATGTCACATACTGGCAGCTGATTGATGGCCCAAAATTAAGAAAAATTATGTGAAATGCATGCCAAAAAATGTTTCACGGCAATGTAACAAAAGGCAACGTGGAAAATGAAAAATAAACGTGCGTTAAGCTGTTTCTGAAGATATGTTTAACATTCACTATATATATAAATGTATATTTTCACAAAAATTGTACAAACAAATAGCGCAGTTGACTCAATTTTCAGCAACATTCTCGTATCTACCTATGAACTAAAAATCGAGTTTTCCACCAAATCAGTCAAGAAAAATACTTTTAGATCATGCTGTATTATTTCAAATACAATAACAGCTTGCCCCAAATATTTGTATATAGTACAGAAAATATATAGTTCCATTACATCAACCGAATATTAATAAATCATGACGTGAACAGCACACAATATTTTGTTATGCCAAATTATATGTGCTTTCCCAGACCGGCGTTGTGCGTCAGCTGCGACTGGCAGCGGACATGTTTCAAGTTTGAACCTGACACAGTGAAAACCATTTGACCAATTGCTCAATAGTTGCTGCTGACGCAATTGATGTCGACGAGGCGCCCATTTTGGTCAATGCAATGGCAAATTTGGGCCGCTGGCGACACTCGTTTAAAAGCCGGGCCAAGAGCCCAATCCAAGTTGGTTAGCGAACGGCACGACACGACGCGTTGCATGTCAATTAAAACGGGCAGCCAATCGAAATTGAAATTTGTACAACACGCGTCGATTGTTTAACATTTTTCGCTGTTGTTGTTGCTATTGTTGTTATCTTACCAAATTTGTGACTCAATTGCTCAATGGGTGTGCGCTAGAAAGTTTTCTAGGTCGATGCTAATCACGTCTGCTTTTCAATTTCCATTTGTGAAGGCGCCGCTTGCATATTTGCCTAAAGCATCAGTTAAAAGCCAATTTGCCAAAACTGCAATTGGCCGGATGAAGGCCATTTCCTGGCAGCTGTCAATGCAATTAACAAGGCAATATTCCCAAAGTAAGCTCCTATTAGAATATGATAACTACAAAGTTATTTCGAATTAGTTCGGGCAGGCTGGCAGACAGGCTGAGCTAAGGC